TTTTTTTTTTTTTTTTTTTTACAAGCACATAGATACCATACCATACCATTTTATTTATAGAGCACTTAAAACAGCTACAAGGCCAACCAAAGTGCTGTACAGACAGAACAACAGGTAACACACAAAGCAAAATACAAAATGAAGTAAATCAGAATATAGACAAAAAATGATGCAGATAATGACGACTAACCTGTGTGGAGCATACAGGATCAAAACACAGATCATCTGGTGTTGAAAGTTATTGAATAGTAGTAAGTTTTTAAACGGGACTTGAAAACCGAGAGGGAGGGGGCCTGTCTGACAAGCAGAGGTAACTCGTTCCAGAGTCTTGGTCCTGCTACAGAGAAGGCCCTGTCACCTCTGCGCTTAAGACGAGTTCCTGGAACTGTGAGGAGCAACTGGTCTGCTGACCTCAGGGAACATGGTGGGACATACGGTTGTAACAGATCAGAGAGATGGGGGGGGGGGGGCAAACTGTTCAGTAATTTGTAGACATACAGGAGTATTTTGAACTGGATTCGAAAGTGAACCAGTAACAAGTGCAGTGAGGCCAAAACTGGTGTAATGTGCTCTCTTTTGCCTGTACTGGTTAAAAATCGGGCTGCTGCGTTCTGGACCAGTTGTAGTCGTGCAATGGAGGTCTGACTGATACCAAACAGGAGTGACTTGCAGTAATTACTGTCTCCAGGTTCTTTTTGGACAATATGGGCTTCAGTTTAGACAGCCGCCTCAGTTGGAAGAAACATGATTTAACAATCATGTTTACATGACTGTTAAGTTTCAGGGAAGGGTCCATTATCACGCCCAGATTAGTGACTCTTTGTTTTTCTGACCGGGTTAGAGCGGAAAGGTCGATGCAGTGGTTTGTGATCGTGTCGTTGGGAGGGAACAACATGACTTCAGACTTCTTTTCATTGAAACTTAAGAAGTTTAAAGCCATCCAGACCCTGATGTCAGCAAGGCAGTCGAGCAGAGGTTGAATAGAGCATGTACCATTGTGTCTTAGGGGGAAGTAAATTTGACAGTCATCGGCGTAGAAGTGGAAGGGCATGTTGTGTTTCCGGAAAATAGCACCAAGCGGCAGCAGGTAGATGGTTAACAACCAGCTAAAATACACCTAAATGCAGGAAATCATATGTATTTTATTTAAAT